ATTCGTATCCATTCTGGATTGGCTCCAATCGATAACAAGTATCCGACAGTATCAATATGTCCACTGTACGCAGCTCGATGCAATGCCGTATACCCATCCACATCGCGAGCCTAATAAAGAAGTTACAATTAGAATTCGTACCGCAGAAAAATAGTAGACGTTAAAATTTAATGATGAAAACAATCAATTTACTTATTTACATTTATTATTTTCCTTTTTATCTAGTGTAAATCAGTGAAGCAATGATCAAAAAGATACCTGTTCACGGAGACGAACGCAAGTTCCCTGCGATCCCTTTTAAAGAAAAGCCTTGCACAAAATAGCAGTGATATTGCATTCTGCCTTAGACGAAGAATCTCAGTCCCTATTCCCTTCCTCTTGTTCCACCCCAACTCACAATTAACAGCGAGGGATACCAAAATATACAGAGTGGTACTTTCCAGTTAGTCCTATCGATGAACCACTAATCATTCATTAAAGCCGTATTAAAGTCTTTTTTTTCACAAAACCAGGGCGAAATTCGAACCGACAACAATGACGGATTATTGCCGATCAAATCCTTGAGTAAATCCAAATTACCATCTTCAGCTGCCGTCAGCACTTGCTCTATTGGATCATTCATATCCTTGATCAAGATGCCATCATCATCGTCATCATCCCAACGAGATGGAAGTTTTCGGTTCGGTTTATTATCGCGTATCCTAGCCATTAGCTTTGACTGACTTGCAAACTGCAAAAGTGATAGAGATTCGAATTGCAAGAAGTTTCGTTTTCTTCCATTGTAATCAGATAATGGCGTAGACATACCCTCAGCAATGATGCAACTGTTACTTTGAAACTATCTCAGTAAGTCCCGTCAAACTAAAACTCGAATTTGTTATTGAGTTTCCAGATTTAAGTGACCAAACATAAAGCTTGATAAGTAGTGTGCAATGTTGCAGAGTGACTATTTTGCTGAATAAAGTCATGAAATTATACGGTAAACAAAAGAGAAGTCTAATAAACAAGAAAACAAATTAAGTGCGATGAAATGATAGAAAATTCAAAAGACATAAAAAGTTTAAAAATAAAACACATACATCAATAATAGACGGGACAGTATCTTCCATTTCAGCGATATTATTAACATCGAAGCCTCCAAAACTTTGGCAAAATGCTGACGAAGTGGTGGTTGACATGGACAATTCCGGTCGATCGTTCTCATCATTAATACTATCTGCACTGGAATGAATTTTCATCGATTCCTCATTTTTCGAATCGACCATCGTACCACCACCTTCCTTTTTCAATTTGCTTTTGTTAAGTTGACTCATCCTAAAAGCCCTTC